GCAGCCACTGGGAAGGGTGTTTCGATGCCGAGCTGCCAAAGGGGTGCATTTAAACATATCTACGTTCAAATTCATACATAGGGAAAAAAAACACAACAACAACAAAGCAAAACACAAAAAGGGTGCATTTGCAGCACGCTGCAGCTGGCGGGGACCCTCGGGAGGAAGGCACACAGATCCCGACCACAAAGGCACGCTGACACCCCTCAAATGAGATTATGAGAATAAAACCGTGGCCCAAAGGCGGCAGCAGCCCTCCTTCCTCCCCCCGCTTTGTATCAGCCCTTCCTGGCGCTGCTTCTCCCTCTGGTGCCTCTATTGTCCCTCTGTGCCACGCGCTGATGCGCAGCCCAGAGCACAGCGTTGCTCTGTGACCCCACACCTGCAGTTCTGACACCCGCTGATGCCTAAAATCCGGGCAATCAGTTTTCTGACCCACGTGCAAAATGCTGGAGGAGGAGGATTCCTCTTTGGAGAGCAGCTTTACACCGAAAGAGGGGAACTGAGGTCAGATGTGAGCAGGAGCTCCTTTACTCAGAGGTCACACAGCAACAAATGGAATGGAGCAGTGGTGGGAAGGGTCCTCCTCTGCTGTGCCACCAGCGGGACTCGATGGAGAGCACACAAACATCATCAGCAGCACAAGAGTGGGGTGTGAAATACGTCAAGGATGAGGAGCGGGAGCCCAGCAGCAACAAGTCAACTTCAATTGCTTCGACAACAACAAGCTGCCATGAACGCATCAACCAACAGCCCAAGTCCTAAGGACGTGCAGCGCCAAAGACAAAAGATGCTAACTGCAAAACGATGGCAACAGAGAGCTGAAAAGGCATAAAGCAAAGTTCTGAATGCAAACTGTGGAGACCTTCTGAGCCCCACTCACCAAGCCTTGGGTGGCTTTGGAGACCTGCACTGTTATAAGGATCACAACACAGGTTGTGTTTTGCACAGGTAACACCTGTAGGGAGCTCAATTCATTGTGCTTTGCACATAATATCAGCTTGGGATTCTGCAGGACAGGAAACGATGGCACCCAAAATGCAAAAAGCAGCTTCAGGGATGGGGAGGGCAGGTGCTGCATGTTTGCTGGGGAAGGTTGGCTGCATGAAGGGCAGCTGCTCCCAAACTCTTCAGCACTGCAACTCGCAGCCGCATTCACCCCTCTGTGGGCGCACTGAAGGATTGGCACAAGGGTGGGAAGAGTGGTCTTCAATTAAAAAGCAAACACAAATCCTGCAAAGATTCAAGTGTGCTCATCAAGCTGTTTGCTCAGCCTAGCTGCTCTGTTTGTATCACTGCGGTGCTGCCTCCTGATAACTGTATTTACTGGGTTTGTGTAAGCTGATGGCAGCAATTAAGATAAGTTGAGTAAATAGCTACAGTAACCAGAGTAATTTTAATGATTTGGAATTCTATCGTTATAGAGACGCTGCCTGTATGTAAATCATGGACAGAAAGTGAGGAAAAAAAGCAAAACAGAAGAAAAAAAAAAAGAGAATAAACAAGGAATAAAGAAATCCAGGAGGGAAATGCCCCCAGCCCCATTTCCAGCCTGCAGACCAGCTCCTCTTCCTGCAGAACAACACCTCAAAGCCACCCCGTGCTTCTGCTCATCAAAGCCCCACCTGTAACAAAGGCTGAAAATCCCATTTCTGATACAAAACATTCCAGGAGAAGCTCCTGCAAGAGCCTGGCATCTCCAACAGATCTCCACGCAGCAGCTCTGCATGCTGCCCCAACCACACTCACTCTGTGCTGCTCCACACCTTTCCCAGCTCTCCCTTTTCTCTCCCCCTCCCCACCCTGTGCCATGGGCAGCACGCGATTCCCACTGCTGACACTCAAACTGTTCCACTAAGACAAATCACCCCGCATAACAACTTCCAAGCAATCGCCATAACGATCCGAGCGCTGCTTTCTCAACGCCGGGAGCCAAAAACAAGATGCTCCCTTCTCCCGAGCAGGGATCCACGAGGAGCAGAGCAGCACATCCCAACACCTGTCACAGCCACAGCCGCCCATCCTCCTGCACAGCAAACACCTGCAGTGCACAAGGTTTCCACTCAGAGCACAGCCAAACCTCTGCCGGGCTGGAAGCAGAAACGGGACAACTTCCACAAGTCAGTTTGTATAGACGTTAGACCTCCGGTAAGGTTGGAGAAGGGCCATGCAGAGCACGCAGCCCAACCACTGCACTGTGACCGCTCTGACCGCGTCCCTCAGTTCCAAATCCGCTCCTTTCCAACCCCCCCACGGCCGGTGACCTCCCCCCCCCCCCCCACCAGCCCTACCGGCTCACCGCCGCTCCTTCCGAGCGCTGATTTCCCCCCGTTCATCACCGCACCGCCCGCACTGCCGTCACCTTTCCCCCCCACCGCCGTTACCTGCGCTCAGCCGGACCCCTCACCGCGCCCTCCTTTCCGAGCCCCGCCTCGCCTCACCTCGCCCGCCGGCTCTCCCCGCTCCCCACGTGTGGTCCGGCTGCGGGGCGGCGGTCGCCATGTCGCTCGGCCCGCTGTCAGGGCGGGGGCGGGGCGCGGCCGGGCCGGGGAGCCGCGGAGCTCCCGGCGTTACCCCCCCCCCCCACTCCTCCTTTCCCTCCCCTCCCCCGGCCGTTCGCTACCTGCCGTAGATGCCCTCGGCGATGCGGTTCCGCTTGAGCGGCCGCCGCAGCTTACTGCAGTCCGCGCTCCGCCGCTTCATCCTCCCGCCGCCTCCCGGCCCCGCGCCGCCCCGCTCACGGCAGCACCATGCGGCCCTCGGGTTCCTCGCGCTGCGCGGCTGCCGTCGTTTTTCTTTTTGTTTTTTTTTTTTGGTGTTTTTTTTTTTTTTTTTTTTCCCCCCCTCCCCTCTTTTTTTTTTTTTTTTTTTCTTTTTCTTTTTTTTTTTTTTTTTTAATAACCCCGGGAAACAAAGAAATAAAAATAATTCCTGGTCGGTCCCTCCCCGCCGCGTCCCCCCGCGCAGCCGCCGCGCAACGACCTGCCCTCCCCGCTGCTGTCCAATCGAACGGTGGTGACGCAAGAATGACGGCTCTCTCGACCAATCGACGGCGGAAAAAGGCAGACGAACGGCCAAGGAGGCCTATGAGAATGCTGTACGGTTGGTCCCGCCCCGCGTCATCGAACGGCCTGCCCACGCGCTTGATTGACGGCCACGAGAGCCCATCGCAGAACAGGGATTGTGAATTGACGGCCCTTCAACCAATCGCTAAGCAGTTCTTGCTCTCCTCCCGCCTACTGTCCGTCTGCGATGGTTCCCGTCCCGTGCTGTGATTGACAGCAAGGCTGCCCAATGGGAGAGAGGAGGAAAACTCAAAGGACAGCTCAGCTATCCATTCGGAAGCGGAAAAAGGAGGGCTTAATTTCCTCTGTCACCGTAACTCTAAAGGGCCGCCCCTCATGCTTGATTGACAACCTCGCTGACAAATCACTATCGTAATCCTCGGGGTGCGCTGTTCTTCCGCAACAACGCAGCCTTGTCCCGACGCCTCACAGGATTTCGGGAAGAGACGGGAGAAAAAAAAAAACCGAAAAGCAAACAGCGGAGCGACTGCAGCAAAGAAACACATTCAGGGGAGTGGCAGGAGAGCGGCCCAATGGCGGCGCAGGAAGGGGCGGGGCAACGCGGCCGTCCTGTCTCCGATCGGTCCAAAGACGGACGGTGTTTGGAGATGGACCAATCAGAGCCCAGGAAAGCTGCTAGCTTTCGGCCAATGGGAAACCCGTCCCTAAGGCAGGGCCTGTGGGTGGGTGGGGGTGCTCAGCCAATGGGAAGCAGAGGTGGAGCGGAACTTCCGTTGTCTCCGCCCTTTCCGGTTAGGCCTGCCTTGTCACCGGCGGCCCCGCCCGCAGTTCGTGCTGTAGCCGCGCGGGGCTGCGTAGCAAAGCGGAGTGCGAGCGGGGCTTCGAACCGCGCCTGGCTTCTTTCCCTCTGCAGGGGCCGCGTGCGGGCCCTAAGCGTTCGGACTGTGATGGATGGGCCCGGGCTGAGGAGCGCGTTAAAGCCTGTTCGGTTAATGGGGGAATTTGAGGCAAAAAGCCCAGAATCAGCATTTACAGCGGGACAGGAGGATCCCGGGGGTGTCCTGTGCAAAAAGGCATGGGCGACGTTACAGCCTTCGGCATGCGTTCCGTCAGAGTGTTCGTGCTGCCAGGAGACTTGGTCACAAATGTCAAAAAAGAAAGAAAGAAAGAAAGAAAAAAGGGTGATTTTGCTTATTTAACTCATGCAGAATGGTGGCTGTAGTTGTGAATCCTCAGTGTGGTTCCCAGGTGGTTGTACTGCAGATGGGAGATGGAGCACAGGCAGTCACTGTGTCCACCAGCTCTGTTTGCACCTTATAGGTGTTCCAAAGCAGCTCAACTGACGTTGAGCAACATCTGAGTTTCGCAACACGGTCACCAAATCCCCCCCAAAAAGGAGCTGGAAGCAGATCTTCCACAGGACATAACAGCTTCTGCCATGTAGCCCTGCTTGTGTGCCCCAAATGTTCGCTTTGGTGGCTGCTTATTTAAAGAAAAAACATGTGCCAACCCAAAGGCTGAGAACCCACAAGTTGGGTGCCTCATAGCCACGGTGTGGCAATGGAAGGTGATGCGTTTCTGAATGCAGGTCAGGTCTGGAAGCGATCAGGTTGGTTCTCAGTTAAAAGGCTGCGGTGTGTCTGGGGTTACCCAGCGGGATGTGGGTGTTGTGTTGGAGCCTAATGCAGCTGAAAACACAACCGGAATCTCAGCTGGGCATTTCCTGAGGTAGTGGTGGAGGGGCTCGGGTCTGGATTACAGTCTGGATTACAAGCAATATAAAGGAATAATGATATTGCGTGAGCTTCAGCATCCCACTGCTGTGAGTCTGCATGTCTGCATGCTTTTCTTGCCATTCAGCTGATACGTGAGGAGCCAAGCAGCTGGAGCACCGTGGGGATGGCATCCTGCAGAATTACATCGACCATTTGGTATGATTCTGTTTGTGGGTACTTCTGAGTTTAGTCCATGTCAGCTAAGCTTGGGCTCCTGACGTGCACCAGATAAGGAACATTCGTTGCCGATGCCTCTCGGGTTTTTTATCTCTCTTTTATTCCCCCTCCCCCTCCTTAACTGTTGGTTTGAGGTGACACAAACATTGTTTATAGAAGAAGTATTAAGGTGTTTGTGCCTAAGTATCATCTGGTGCACAATGCCTTCTACTTACCTCAGCTTCCGATGCAGCGTGCCGTGGCTGATCCTTTCTCTGGAAGCTGTCTTCATCGTCCTCATTTATTTTCTGTTCTCAGACCAGTATGCATTGCTTTACTACACAGGTAAGACTGCTCACCTTGCCATGAAAGGAAGGATTTTTATTTTGCATTGCAGTAGAGTTGGGATGGATGGTTTTGTGTACTGGTGAGTGAGAAGGAGAACGTTTGTGCTGCCCTTCTGCTGCCCTGCTTGTATTCTTCATCATTATTTATGTGAAAGCAAAGGCAGTCCACAAAGTCATACATGATAGAAATTGCATTGCTCATCTGTTTTCTGCTGTCTCCACGTGTATAAGTGGAAACTTCTGAGGACAGGCAGCACTCCGAGTGCAGAGCTCTGGTGAGGTCTCAGCACATGAAACAACTGTAAAACTGAATTTGAGTACGGTATCGTCTTTCTGTTTCCTTATGGAAGAGAGAGCAAGCTCTGGGTTTCTTTAAAACTAGTTCATAATGGTGCCCAGTGTTTAATAGAAAGATTTCTTAGTTAATTGTCATTTTTTAAAACCAGTCTGCTTGAATCACTTCACTGCTCTTCTGCTCTTTTCTGTCACGCAGATTTGCAGGATGTCAGCCACATGCTCATTTTTGGATTTGGCTTTTTCCTGACGTTTCTGAAACGATACGGGTTCAGCAGTGTGGGATTCAACCTCCTGATCATCGTGCTTGGTGTCCAGTGCTCCATTCTGATGGAAAATGTATCAGTTTTCCCGACAGAAAGAACAGTGGAAGATGTGTTCAGGTAATTAGTTCTTGTTAGAATTGGAATCACTGGAGCTGCTGGTGGCTTTTATTCTGGTGTAATGCCTGGCTGCAGTGAATCAGCATGGTCGTTGCAGACTTTTTGGAGGGTTAAATGCATTTTGCTGTCAGTTGTTCTTTCTTCTTTGCCTGAATATGGTCCTGACACGGAATTGTATTTTGTTTTCTTCTTTCCTTCCTTTCATTACAGAATAACGGGAGCTGCTATGAGCGTGGTTGCTGTGGTCATCTCCATTGGAGCTGTTCTTGGGAAGATCAATCCCATGCAGTCCATCGTGATGACAGTTGTGGAGATAATAGTTTTCCGTATGAGCAGATGGATCAACATGCACGTCCTGAAGGTACAGCAGTATCATTTCCAGAAACAGGAGGGAAAGTTTCACAGAGCCTCTGGAAACATTGCTGTTTCCACTGACTGATACACGAGCACACTGTGCACAGCAGAGGCAGAGCTGCGTTTAACACACAGTGTAAATGTGCTCCGAGCTCTTTGTGGATGAACTGTGTGGTTATGAGCTACAGTGAGCTCAGATAAATTAACATGGCATTAAAAACCCACGCTTCAGTTATAAACCAAGTGACTGTTTTGACAAATTCTACACAGGGAGGTTGCATGAGTGAATTATATCAGCATCTGTGTCAAAGTTTCCTGTGGCACATGATTGGTTACAAATATACTCTACTGATGCAGGTTTCATACCATGTATGCATGATGCACGTTCACCTGTTTGGGGCATACTTTGGTCTGGCTGTCTCCTCACGTTTCCCTGAGCCATCACTAAGGGCTGAGAAGAATGGAAGTACTTCAAAATCGGACTTACTGTCAATGTTGGGTGAGGCATTTGGTTTAATGCTGGGAGAAGAGATTGCAGTGAGAGCAGGAGGAAAGCATAAGTGCAGGTTCACTGCTGCCCTCTCTCAATTAATCCCTCTCTCTTTGGGGCTTGTGTGGACGTTTTGGTCAGGGATCCATGCGCTGAGGTTATGACTTGTATTTCAGTAGTGCTTAGAGTCCCTATCTGGGGCTGAAATGCTGTTTGCTCCATCAAGGTGCTGCACAGTGATATGGAAATGCAGTCCCTGCCTAATGCTGTGAGTGTAAGATAAAAACCTGCTGAAAGGTGGGGAACAGGATACAGGCAGGCCTGTGATCTGCTGTCCGTATGACACTGCAGTGCTGTGTGCAGTACCACGTTTCTGGGGAAGATGTTGGGACAGCAGGCAGCTCTCAGGCTGTCTGCACTGCAGAGGACAGGAATCACTCTTTGGTCACAAAGAGGAAGTTGAAATGAATGCAGAAATGTGGGTTGGAAGCATCCAGAGACAGCCTATGGTAGATATACTGTGTTTGAGAGCAGGTAATAACAATTGCTTGTCTTTGTCTCCAAGGCACTCTCTTTCTGTGGGTGTTCTGGCCAAGCTTCAATTCTGTACTGGCTTCAGAAAAGAATAAATTGATCTTTAACACCTACTTAGCACTTGCAGTGAGTGCTGTGACTGCCTTTGCGTTGTCTGGTCTGATCACAAAGGATGGAAAATTCAGGATGGTAAGACATGAGGGAAAATCACGGTATGGAAAAACTTGTTCTGTTACTCTCAGTAATACGTTGCAGGGTAAAATAGCTATTCAATAAAAGCAAATCTGAGTTTTCAGCATGGCAGTTATCATTAGGCTGCCAAGCAGAAGTTAGAAATGGTGTTCTCTGATGGTAGCTTACAGTATGCAGAAGCCCACATCCCCTAATGTGCTGTTATACAACAAGCAATGACTGAATTTTCTCTTTGCTACTTTGTTTTACAGACTCATATCCACAGTGCAGCGCTGGCTGGTGGGGTTGCTATTGGTTATGCAGCAGACATTATCGAGTATCCCTGGATTGCAATGATTTTGGGTCTCCTTGCTGGTGTGATAAGCACGCTAGGATCTTTCTGTTTACAGGTAACACCCAAAGCCTGAAATTCCTTTCTGTAGAAGTTCTGTAAACTTATTTTCCAGTGTGACATACCTCAAGGTAAACCTCTTTTTTGAGAAGATTAAACCTGAAGTCTTGACCAAGGTGTGGGATTGCAAGTTAAGAGTCCAAAGTTAATTTCCCAACTCTAAGATAGACAGTGTCCAGTTATCAGCTTGTGTTCTTGTGTATCACTTAATGTTTTCCCTCTTCCCAGGGTTGCTTGAACCCTACTCTCAAGATTCATGATGCATCTGGGGTTCATTTCACGTTTGGTTTGCCTGCTGTGTTTGGAGCTCTTGCCCGAGTTCTTTTCTGTGTGCTGGAAATCCAGACTAAATCACCAAGGTACATAAATGTTTGCCCTTAGGTGTAATAAGTTTATCTGATCGTTACTGGAGGGTGTCCTGAGTGGAATTCTCATAAATACAGAAGGCTTGCAAGCCTTCACAGATAAATCATGTTAGGTTTCAGTCCTGAATTTGGTCCTTTATCTTCAGAGCAGTGTGCAGAGGAGATGAAGGCTGGGAAAATGCCTCCTTCCCAGGTGTTTTGGGAAAGCTTTGTATACTATTACAGCAAGGGAGGGAAAAAAAGATGAATTTTATCCCAAAGTCTTTAACATACAGGCAAGGGCTAACACCAGTCTGGACCCCCAACTGGAAATATGCTTGGGGAAACACCACACAAAGGGCTCACTGAAGGGTGGTTCTCCATAGGATTTCATGGATCATATCAAGCCCATGTTGTATCACAGAAGTTCTCTGGTTCTCTCAGCTTGCACAGGAATGAATCACAGTGCAACATAACCTGGTTGTAGGCTTCTGCTCAGCTCTCTTAAAACATCCAACTGCAGCTGCATGAAGGGTTGAAAACAGTGATTGTAATGTGAGGTTTTGACAGGAGGTCCATGCACAGGGACCACTTGGGGCAGACACATCCACAGGCTGAACGTTAGAGCCAGCAATTGTCAAAGGGGAAACACTTGTTTTGCTTTCAGCATTGGCCACGAGGTCGCAATGAGCATCGGTGCCTTCTGCTTCACCATCAGTGCTGCCCTGATAACGGGTCTGATTACAGGTAAGCAGGAAAACCACGTTTCAGTAACATCTTCCACATTTTCCTTTGGGGCAGGGGCTGTGTTTTCCCATTGCAGCTGTTGTGTGTCAGTGTCCTTTGCAAAAAGACACCGGTGTAACAGGTGCTTATGTGTGCTGCTGTGGATAGGGATTTATGTAGGAGAAACAGTTGGAAGCATGAGCACCCAGAACTCTTCCTGGATAGGCTCTGAAGAAGAGATGTAGTCAACATAACCTACCTGCAACATTTTTTCTTTGGTGAAATGTATTTTGCAGACGTTTAACAGCTGCCTTCAGATTACAGACATGAGATGTGTGAGGATGAAAGTACATTTATGTTTTGGTGTTGTCTTGGTGACAGGAAAATGCTACCTGGAGCTTCTCATTTTTTAGGCCAGTTGCTGCAAATCTGCAGACTTCCACTCACGTCAGCAGCTTGCAGGAGGCAGACCCAGCTCCTTTGGTTGCTGGGTTTGGGATCATCAAGGCTCACGTGCTCCTCACATGACATACTGTTGGTTTTATGGCAGCTGCAGTTGTTCTAAAGCTGCTAATTCTGGTTTGAGGTGGAAGCTGCTGTAAAATATACTCTGAAACGATATTATAAAATGCTTTAATCGATTGCAATTTTGCATTAGCTCAAGGGTAGGTAAGAGCTAATGAGTTCTTTAAAAAACAATCAACTAAAATAATCATTCAGTGGTTCCACGTACTGAGAACCCAAACTAACAGTGCTGCTAAGCCTGTCTGCTTTCATGTGAGAAGTTAAAGACTTTCCATGTATCCTTAGAATCTGGGAGGCTGTTTAATGGGTTTTTACCTATAAGCTTCTCCGTACTTAAGGTCAACTTGAGTCACAGGGCTCTGCTGAAGTGTTCTGTCCTGATGTTGTGTTTTAGTCTGTGTTCCATTTGGATGTGTGTTACCAAGAAGTTACACAGCCTTCCCCTTTCCATGACATGTGTAGAGGTATATCCAATGTATGTGTTTTTACAACCAGGTTTAATCCTAAACCTCAAACTGTTGAAGCCCATCCCTGTCTCCAAGTATTTTGAAGACCAGGTGTACTGGGAGGTAAGTTTCCTTTCAGTGTAAGGTTAACCACGTGGCAGTGCACACAGCAGCCATTTCAGGGTACATTTCAATGCCCCGTTTGTTCAGCTGTCTGAAGCCTGAGTAAAATAGAAATGTTCTTCAGATAGCATTCCTGGTGGTGGGCGCGTGGCTAAAGCTGTGATCTCTGTTGTGACACACAACATCCGTGCTCAGACATCCTGTGCTTCATAGACGGTCCCTTGGAATCATAGAATCAGAGAATCACCAGGGTTGGAAAAGACCTCAAAGCTCACCCAGTCCAACCGTTCACCTATTCCCAATAGCTCCCACTAAACCATGTCCCTCAACACAACATCCAGCCTTTCCTTGAACACCCCCAGGCTCGGTGACTCCACCACCTCCCTGGGCAGTCCATTCCAGTGCCTGACCACCCTTTCTGAAAAGTAATACTTCCTCATGTCCAGCCTGAATCTCCCCTGCCGTAGCTTGAAACCATTCCCCCTGGTCCTATCACTGATGACACGAGAGAAGAGGCCGACCCCCCAGCTCACTACAACCTCCCTTCAGGAAGTTATAGAGAGCAATAAGGTCTCCCCTGAGCCTCCTCTTCTCCAGGCTGAACATTCCCAGCTCCTTCAGCCTCTCCTCATATGGCCTGTGTTCCAGAGCCCTCACCAGCTTTGTTGCCCTCCTTTGAACACGTTCCAGGGCCTCAATATCTTTCTTGCAGTGAGGGGCCCAATACTGGACATAGTACTCGAGGTGCAGCCTCACTAGTGCTGAATATAGGGGAACAATCACTTCTCTGCTCCTGCTTGCAACGCTGTTTCTGATGCAAGCCAGGATGCCATTGGCCTTCCCGGCCACCTGAGCACACTGTGGGCTCATGTTCAGCCCAGCATCCATCCATAACCCCAGGTCCATTTCCTCTACGCAGTCCTCCAGCCACACCGCCCCAAGCCTGTAGCATCGCCTGGGGTTGTTGTAGGTGAAGTGCAGGACCCAGCATTTGGCCTTGTTGAACCTCATCCCATTAATGGATGTCAAAGAGGATTTTTACCAGGCAGTTCTGTGGATGGAAGGTTCTTTCTATGAAAACTCCTGGCCTTCACTGGGCGTTGAGTGCATGAACACAGAGCTTGTGCACATTTAGGTGCTGAGTGTGATCCTCTAAGAACCAGGGAATTTGGAATAAGGTTCTGCATCGCCTCCTCCATGTGTTGATTTGATGTTGATTGATAAAACGTTCTGATACAAGAATGTCTGTATTCACAGTTTCCTCATCTGGCTGTTGGATTTTGAATGGATGAACCTCAATGGAAAACTTGACCAAGATCCGTATTTGTCATTAGAGAAAATGAGTAGCTATGATGAAACAGCACTTAATTATTAGCACACTTACAAAAGCCTTCCCAATGGACACATGAAGAATCTGCAACAAAACGTTCATTATTTCTGAACAATCAGCACATATATTCACAGATGGAGAATTACAACATGTTTTCTTTTCTGTTTTGATCATTTTACCTTAAATATTTTTGTGGGACGTGTACAGAAAGATGCTGTCGTGGCTTATCCATTAAAATGCTTGAAGCTTTTAAAGCTGTATTTAGTTCTGAAGTTTAAAAGTCCCAATCTGTGCAGCACGCATTTATTCTGATCTAGTGAAGTGCTGAAGTTCCTGTTTGTAAGTTCAATAAGTTCTGCTGAAGGCCCTGTTTTGATGGCTGAGCCAGAACTCCACACTGTGCCAGGCTGAAATCGTGTCACCAGATAAATCTGCTCGTGGCTCAGCCAAGATTTGGAAGATCTGATGGCAAGAAATGACGAGCAGAACTTGGGTTTGTGCTGGGGGGTGGCCAGCCTGGAAGATCTGGAAACGATTCCTTAAACACTGCCAGCTAAAGGCCTTACCTTGATTTGAATGAATGGAAGGAGATATTGCTTGTAGAGTGCTCCTACCTGCAGGGCTCTGTGCACAAGGCACGGCCTGCTCAGTCAGGGGATGCAGTGCAGCCGTGTTTGTAAGTGCATGGTGCTCCTCAGCTTTTTCTTCATTTCAAAATAGTTGACGTTTTTTCCTTTAACTGCTTACATAATTAAAGAAGTGGAACCTTGGCTGTTTTTATTTACTCATCACACTTGCTTAAAAATGAAGGAATGAGGCAAACTGTAACACTGAAAACAAGAGGGGGAGTATTTGGTGCTCGCTGCAATGTCTGCTGACATCTAATTTGTTCATTAGGGAATAAACAAAGCAGTTCTGCAATTAAAGGAAGCTGAGACAGAGGTCCAGGTAACTTGTAGAGGAAGTGTCACTGTTTCTTATTTCACAAAACAGCCAGCCATCTACTTATTTATCAGCTGCATGCAGCTTTTACCAGCTGACAGTTCATTCAGCACAGCTGCCTACACCTTTATATGCCTCCTTATCACACATTTAGCACATCACTGCCCTGGCAGTACTGTAATCCAGGCTGAACTTGTGACCTTCAGTTCCTCACATTCCAGCACCCACTGAACATAAAGACACAAAGACTTCTTCCGTGCTTCTGCTGTCTTCCAGCAGGAGTGGTGGTAAGGAATAGTGTTTCATTCCTCTGTTTCTCTCACATCTCTTTGCTCCCTGATTTCTTGAGCAAGTAACCAAGCTGTGTGTAGAGGATGGGGCAAAACAGCTCCTCTTGTATCTCAGAGTTCAAATGAATACGGATCAGAAATCTCTCTTGCAGGGCCTGTCCCTGGTTTAACTCCCAGCTGAGGAGTGTTCTTCCTTCCTTTTATTGTGGTTAGGAATTAAGTTTACAGCAGGCTTTGTGGATGAGCTCCTTACAGCCAGAACCAGGACAGAACTTTCACTGTGCCTCTGCAGTGTCTGAGCAGCAGTGAGTTGTTCACTGCCCTCACCATCTTTGTGTTGAACACTCAGGGAAAAACAAGGCCCAAAGCAGCACAGCTTAACACAGGAAAAAACACAAACCAGTCAGATTTGAAAGTGAAGAACTGTTTATATTGTCCAGATATAGGAAATACTTAATAAATATATGTTAAAAATTGGTTGTAAAGCAAGTAGGACTTGGGCTGTAAATATCATAGAAAGTGTGAAATGGTTAAATGCATTAATCTTCCACTATTCTATTTTCTTATAGCAAACATCATACAAAAGTGACTTCCATTGCTACTTGTAGCAGTTTTACAGGTCAGAAACATTGCAACATTGAAATCAATATAACTGTTCTTAAGGTTTTTTCCTTTAAAAAAAAATACAACCAGGATTTGTGGTGCTGTGATTTCCCTTCTCCACGTTTTACCTTTAGACACCATTGAAGGGCACCGTATACAAAATGGCTTTACAAAATTTCCAGAATACAGAGTTAAAAAAGCAACACGGCCAATGCGCTTCCATCAGCGTGAGCTCACTGCCACAGGTCCTCTGTGCGGCCAAATTTGAAGACCAGTCCTCTGTTTGAAACAAGAAAGGCACGTGAGCACCTCAGGGGGCAGATTAAACACCAAATCATGTTTTCAGTACGTTATTTGTGGGAGCAAGTTGTGTATTTGTGAACCCACGGCCTGCTCCTGCAACAAAACCCATGCAGGCAGATCAGCGAGTGCCCTCAGCTGCACTTTATTCACCCACATCTAGCTGCAAAGAAATAGAGCTGAAATAAAACCCAGACTGCAGCAAGCTTTGGTTTTGATCATTCAAAACCAATTAGGTAAGAAATGAACGAAGGATGAGAAGCTTACCCGAAAAAGATGAATGCATTCTGGAAAAAAACAGCAATTCCTGGGTACACGACTGTTTTCTCTAAAGGCAAACAAAACAAAACACTCTGAATTTTTCACAAGTCTTTTCTCTTCAAAGAGACCCCATCTCACAACAGGGCCCAGCTGCTGCCTCAGAACAGATCTGCCCTCAGACAGGTTGTTCTCTCATAGAATTAACAGAGCACTCTGCATCTTTCGCATCCGTTTCATCCTCTGACAAGATGCTTCCCTCCCATCTGTTGCCCCCACTGCAAAGTCATTTCAATGGCTTTTGTGCCTCCCCCTCACTTATTCAGCTTTCCAAATAACTGAAGCAATAATCAAAGATGTCACTCAGATCTCAGCTCATGCAGGCTGTCATTACCGTGTGGGATTGCACACCCAGTTTGCAGTGATGATAAGCCACAGAACGGAGCACTGGCATGAAATCAGTGTGCCCAGGTGTCCCTGAAAATCCCCCGTCACCTGAGTAATGCCAAGACTAAAGAGAACATAAATTAGAACCCAACCACTGTGCCCTAATGAGCATGAAATTCACTGCCAGGGCTGAGCAACAGCTTCATGTCTGCTGATGTGTCCCTGCCAAGAGGAATCTGCTGCAGTTTGTGTGACTTTCTCAAGACTTGTCTTCATAAAATTACCACGGTATAAAGGAAGGTGTGCAGTTCTACAAGCAGTTTGCTGGCTTAATGTATAGGCCTGGGGAACAACCTGCACAAAATGAGTCACCTTAATTCTGGAAAGAGGTGTTTGCTGAGAATTATTCCTGTATAACGAAAGCAGTTCAATTATTTCAGTGCAGTCCCCTGTGTGACTCAGCCCTCTGTTTCTACTAAGGCTAACTGGAAGGTTTGTGTCCTACAAAACAGGCTGACGTGAGCTTAAATAACAGAAACGGGATCTTAAAATTCCCCATATGTTAGAAAAAAGAAAAAAAAAATGGATAGGGAAGAACTAGACAGGGCCAGGCCATGCTTCATGCTGTATTTTACCTTTAACGACGTATCCTCCAAACAGAATCCACATGGAAGCAATCAGAGAGCCAAAAGCCATCATAAAGCCAATGAAGAGCCAGATCCGAGCACCTTAAAAAAGACACACAGAGGTTCTGTGCCCATCCCTGGGTGAGACACCAGCAGCTTTCCAGGTGCTTCAGTTTCAGAGCACCTGACGTGACCCACTTATGCTGTGCACATAAAGCAGTGCACAGCTGGTGCAGCATCACAGCTCTTCCAAGGGTTACTGACTGCACACCTCTTACCTGTCTGTCCCAGGCAGCCCTCGCTGTAGCTGTCGCCCCGCACTTGTCCGTTAGACACTGCATTGATCCTGAATGTGACAAACAGGATGGAAAAGGGGAAAGATAAATAAAGCAAGGAGGAAAATGTTTATAAAACGGGAGGAGAAACTTCTCAGAAACTCATTTAGGCTGTACTGCATTTGTTAGATGTATTTTATTGCTCAGACTTTGGAACGATGTTAAACTTCAATGCACTGCTCCACTTTTCTCCACTTTTAATGCCTTGATCTGTGTGCTACTCCATTGCTAATGGCTCCTCACCACAGACAGATGCAAGGCACGTGATCCTAGGCTGCACCAAATGAAGCATGACCAGCAGCTCGAGGGAGGAGGAGTTCTCCCCTTCTGCTCTGCTCTCACGAGACCACATGCAGTGCTGCATTCAGCAGCCCCCACCATAAGAAAGGAAGGAACCCTCTTTCACTGAGTGCAGGAATAGGACACAGGGGAATGGTTTTAAGCTAAAAGAGGAGATTTGAATGAGACGTTAGGAAGAAATGTTATCACTCAGTGGGCAATGAGGCCGAGCACTGCAGCCCAGAGCTGTGGGTGCACAGAGGCAGCGCCCAAGGCCAGATTGCACAGGGCTTTAGGCAGCCTGCTCAGAAGTGTCCCAGCTTATGGTGGGGGGTTGGACCCAGGTGATTGTTAGAACCCCTCCAACCCAAACCATTCTATATTAGCAACACTCAGACCCTGGCTTGTTCTTTTCAGTTATCTCCTGATTTAAAGAGTACATTTTAAAAAAAATTCTGAATTCCACCAGATTTCTAGGTGTGCACAGCTCTGATCAAGACGTTACACTCACATTAGGAATGCAATGGTGGCTATGACCCCACAGGCATGATATGAATGGTTGAAGTCTTCCATGGTAGGGTACTTTACAGCTGCATCTATGATTATCCACCAACCTGTAAAAAACTGTTAAAAGCGAGAGTACTGTAGTTTAAAACACAGACAGAAAAGTTTTGACCAAAAAAACCATAAATTACAGCATGACTGCCTCTGCTGTCAGCTCAGTTAGGTACAAGCTAAACACAAACCCCACGATTCAGCTGCTTGAAGAGATCACAGAATTGCAGGGGCTGGAAGGGACCGCTAAAGGTCATCAAATCTGTTACACGCAGGGCCACCAACCTCCACATTCAATACCAGCCCAGGGCCCCATCCAACCTGGCCTTGAACACCTCCAGGGATGGATGGGGCATCACAGCCTCTCTGGGCAGCTGTTCCAACACCTCACCACTGTCATAGCAAAGAACTTCCCCCTGACATCCAACCTCAATCTGCCCTCCCTCAACTTCAACTTTATCTCCCCTTTCCAAGAGTTGATTCCCCTCCTGTTTGTAGGCTCCCTTTAGGTACTGCAGGCTGCAATGAGGTCACCCTGCAGCCTTCTTTTCTCCATGCTGAACAAGCCCAGCTCCCCCAGCCTGTCTTCACTGGGGAGGTGCTGCAGCCCTTTGATCATCTTTGTGGCTCCTCTGGACAACAGCCCTTTCTTGTACTGGGGGTTCCAGACATGGACACCTTCCCAGGTGCAATACTCTTAAACCCCATATAGTTTTTCTGTGCCCAGCTCTCCAGTCTGTCCAAGACTCCCTGAATGGCAGCACAGCCTTCAGGTGTGTCCGCCATTCCTCCCAGCCTCTTACCATCTGCACTATCCCCTCATTAAAGTCACTGATGAAGATGTTGATCAGACCCAGCACTGACCCCAGGGAGCACCTGAGGTCTGAGCTCTGCCAGGCAGTTCATAGAATCATAGAATTACCAAGGTTGGAGAAGACCCACAGGATCACCCAGTCCAATCATTCACCTATCACCAATAGCTCCCACTAAACCATATCCCTCAACACAACGTCCAAACGCTCCTTGAACACCTCCAGGTCGGTGACTCCACCACCTCCCTGGGCAGCTCATTCCAGTGCCTGACCACTCCTTCAGAGAAGTAGTATTTCCTAACGTCCAGCCTGAATCTCCCCTGGTGCAGCTTGAAGCCATTCTCTCTCATCCTATCACTGTTACACGAGAGAAGAGGCCGACC